GCCTCGGGCCATGGTTTGCCCCCTGCCCCCTCTTCCACGCCCCCTTTTCGGACGACCCCAGCTCCTCTCGCCCGAGGCCCCCGATGTCGTGTACAGCGTCGACCCCCGGAGGTCTTGACCCATTCCCTGGGACCGGCTTTTCATCCTGAGCTGTTCTTTCGACGGTCTCGGGGCCCAGCGAGGGTCCCACAGCGGCTGAAAACAGCCAACAAAACATTGCCGTCGTGCTTTTTTCATGACGCGAGGGGGTCTGGGCCCTTCAGCTCTGGCCGGGGCTCTGGCTCCGCGCTTTCCCTGGCCGCCCTTGCAGGGCCAATATCGATTGATCGATCCGATCCGATTCGATTCCGATATTCCGACAATCCGATGCGGCCCGATGCTCGCATGGCGTTGTTGTGCATTCTGGCGCAGCTGACCTGACCCAATTCCGACCCCGTGCCGATGCGACCCGATCCGATGTACGTTCCGTTCCGATCCGATCCGATTTCACGACTCGATGTTGACTGACCCTGCCTTACTTGAAGACGAAGCAACGGCATAAACATAAGCTGTCGGAGCTCCGACAGTTTATGCCTATGCCACTTCGACGACGACGACGACGACGGAGGAGGAGGAGGAGGAGGATGAGGAGGGGGAGGAGGAGGAGGAGGAGGAGGAGGAGACACTCCAGCCAACAGGCAACAGAAGGACGAGGATGAGGAGGAGGAGGATGAGGAGGAGGAGGAGGAGGAGGAGGAGGAGGAGGACGAGGTCGAGGAGGAGGAGGAGGTCGAGGAGGAGGAGGGGGAGACGACGACGAGGGCGACGACGCAGTTTTCTCTTCCTCCACCACCCCCCGTTGCCCGCGTCGCGGGCCCGTCCTGTCCCGCACGGAGCTCTCGGCGGCTGCCGCTCCCGCCCGCGCCGCTTGCTTCGGCCCGGCCCCGGCGCCGCTCTGCGCCCGCCGTGTTTTCTGCGCTCGCGCCTCTGCGCTCGCGCGCGTGGTCGCCAGTCAGTCAAGCCGGGCGCCGGGCAGGGGCGCCTCGGCAGGGACTCGAGAAGAGCACGATTGGCTCCCAGACTCCACACAAGTGAAGTGGCAAGGCAATGCCACGATGCTGCCGACCTGCACTCGTGAAGGCCGGTCTGGTGCACGCACACGGAGGGGGAAAGGAGGGCAGACCCCCTCGCGTCGTGAAAAAAGCCTGGCTGTGGGTTTGAGGCGTTCCAGTACTTTTTCGGCCAGCAGGACGGGCGGGCGAGGTTCGAGGTTCTGGGTTCGGAGGCTTTTTTGCTTTCTTTGGTCTCTGGTAGCCGTTTTCAGGCCCTGGGACAACGGAAAACGGATCAAGGGCGAAAGATTGAACCAGATGAACCCCTGAAGGAGTCTAGGGATTGCTTTTGAGCGGGGACCATAAGACACGGATCTGGGGCGAAAAACTGCACCAGATGGATGGTGGCCCCACCCCCCTTCCCGACTGACCGATTCTTTGGGGTCCCAACCAGTTCGGACCTCCCTGGCCGCCTCGGAGGCCCAGACCGCCCAGACCCCCTCGCGGCGTGACAAAAAGCGCGACGGAAGGTTTTTCGCCCTCTGTTGCCTCCCGGGGCCCTCGTCGGGCCGCGGGGCCGTCGCAGAGCGACCCGCAGGATGCGAGGGGCTGGCCCTGGCGGGCAATCTCCAGACCCTCCTCCTCCTCCTCCTCCTCCTCCTCCTCCTCCTCCTCCTCCTCCTCCTCCTCCTCCTCCTCCCCCTCCTCCTCCTCCTCCTCCTCCTCCTCCTCCTCCTCCTCCTCCTCCTCCTCGGGGCCCACGCTGCGAAGAGGTCACGACGTCGGGGGCCTGGGCAGGGGGGGGGCACCGCCGCTCGAGGGGGCTGCTCCGCGCGGCCGCGTGGGCCTCGTGCCCAGCCGGGGACTCGTGCCACTTCGGTTCGGTCGTCGCACGCAGGCTTCGCCGATCGGTGGTGGCCGGAGGCCAGTGATTCAGCGGCTTTCGAGGACGAGCTGCGTTAGCGAATGACTCCCCATCTCTTCCTTCGCCTCCTCTTCCAACACTTCTTCTTCCAGGGGGCGCGCCGCTGAACGTGAGCTTCATCGGCCACAACGCCTTCTTCGTGCAGTCTCACGCCGACCACTACCAGATAATCTACAAGCACTTCCTTCTCCGACCAGAAGGCCCCCTTGTTAAACCCCTTGGCATGCGTCACGTTCGCGCTTTCCTTCGTGCTGGAATTTGCCTATCGCAAGTCGGCTCCCTTGAGGCTCCTGGTTTGCCTGGCGACGTTTTGATTCGCACAGCGGTAAGCACAACACGCCACCCAATATATTCGCCGAGGGGGAAAAGAAGGCCCCCTTCTGTGACCACTGCAGACTTCAAACAAGACGCTGAACTAATGACCACTCTGGGTTCAGCATGTTCTCTGGTTGTTGTCTTGGATTCCTTGTTCAAGGCTCGCCATGGCCAGAACAGATACGTTCGTTTCTTGTTCAGCGTTCCTTATATGGTAGCGTCACGACTCTTCCTCCATCGTAAGAGCATCTGAATGATGTCAGTAAGTCTTGGAGGCAGCGAGGTACTACTCCTGAAAAGGCCTTCACAGTGTTCCGCCCACAGGGTTCGGTCCACAAGGGCCCCTTCCCTCGTAGAGCTCCGCCCACAGCGCTCCGCCCACACGGCTCAGCACACAGAGTTTCACCAACCGGGCTATACTATACAGCATCATCCGTACGATTCTGCTAATTGCCAGAAGGAAGAAACACACACAGACACACACACACATAATCGTGGATCTCCAGGAAAGTATCGGAACAGATGGGAGTTGGTGGGGAAGACGAAAGTCCAGGACACACATCTATAACAGTGGAATCCGGGAATGGGAACATATCCTTTCACGCATGGCCCCGCCCTCCGCGACCCGTTTTGCGCGCAGGCGCGGTGCCCCCGAGGCATTTCGTGTCGGTTTGAGGATGACAATTTCTCTGAGCACCCCGTTCACCCGCAGCTGGGTTGGCGCTGGCAACCTCCGGGTCGGGCCCACGCCGAAAAATCTGCGCCGCGCCGCGTGGCGCGGCGCCGCCCCCGAGAGGGCGCGGGCACCTTGGGCGCGGCCCCGGTGATGGCCGCGGTGCCACCCAGCAACGGGCGAGAAGCGGAGTGGGCGCTCGGGCGCGTCAGATCCCGAGCGCGGGGCGCACGCCCCATGTCAGGCGATCGCAAACATGGATCAAGGCGGCGTGGATTAGCGACGGGTTCCGTTTCCATGGGACGGCTCCCATCAGCGACGGGTCCCGTTTCCAGGGGTCTCGCGCCGCCGAGCGAGGCGGCACCGGCCGCATTTTGGGGAGGGCACCTCCCCCGATCCATGGATTTGGCAACCGCGCGCCAAATCCGTGGACCGCTCATCCATGTTTGCGCCCCCCCGACCATGAGCCTGGAAGTGAAGTTTGTGCCTGCGCAGCGCCGCGGCGGGGACCGGCTGTGCGCGGGGGAGCGCGGACCCGTGCACATCGCCTGCGGCGCGTCGCGACGCGCGCCAGCAAGGCGGCGGCGCGGCGACTGCTTGCGCCTTCGTCTGCCGCGTGTCCTTGGGGGCAGTGAGTGTGTGCGATGGAACAAAGAGCGAGCGGCATCCACTCGCCCGCGCTCTGCCCGACCGCGGTCGATATGGGCGAGGTAGGCGTCAGGCGCCTGGTCCCCTCGCTCCTCTGTCACGGCAATCGGCGCCTTCTCGCGATCGATGTCGGCGTGCCCCCTGGCCCCGCAACGCGGGCGAATGAACGGGCGCGTCGCGCCCGCGCGGGCGATCGCGCGTCGCGACCTCCTTCTGTCGTGCGCGCCGAAGTGGTGAGCTTCGGCCACCCCTAACCTGGACAAGGGGGACTGAAGGATCCGCCTGGCATCCGATCCTGAGAACTGCGCGAACGCTGAGCGTCGATGGCTACGTTGCGCAGCAGCGGCAGCACCGCGTGTATTGCGCGCGTCGCGGCGTGCGCGCGGTACTTTGCCCTTGGCTGGGCCCTGGGGCTCCCGGGACTTGCCCCAGCCTTCATCGCCGCTGGCGTGATAGCATTTGCCCTTGCCCTATCCCTTGGGCTCTGCGTGCGAGGCGCCCTTGGAGCTGTCCTTCTGGTGCCGCTCAGAAAGATTTGGAGGGGGTCGCGAGCCGTGCGCTCGCGTTCCGCGCGCGCTTGCAGGCTCTGCTTCCGTTGCCGCGCGGCGCGATCGGTGGGGGAGGAGTTGGTGCCGCTGGTGCGATCGGTCCTCTCCCGCCCTGCCAGCTCTGCAGAAACGACTGCTGTTGTTTTATGCCTCCTGCGGGCCTGGCCGCGACCGCGCGCGAGCGGCGGTCGGCGGCGGCCGCGTAATTGAGGGCGCTTGAAGTTTCACTAGCCCCGTGAAACTCGCGACCAGGGCCCGCCCGTCGCGCGACGCCGTCCTTGCCAGGGGCCGAATGGTACGCGACGGCGCGACGCCGCTTTGGGCGCGCGCGCAGAAGCATCGCGCATATGGTTTTTGCGTCGGCGCCGTCCTGGCCGCCGCGCTTCTCAGCCGCCCGATGGGGCATCCACTACTTGATGTCAGCGTGGGCGAAAGTTTTCGCGACCCCAGTCGCCCGGGCCGGCTTAGTCCGCGCCGCTTGGGCGCGTGCCGCGCGAGACCGTTGAGCGAGATGCCGCGCGCGCGAGCGCCTTTGTGTCGAGCCAGTCGCGCGACGTTGGCGATGGCCTGCGAGCTGGCGGCAGTTCGGTGAGGCTGCTGGCGCTCGACCTGTCGCCGATGTCGACGTGCGCGACCGCGTCTGGCCTACGCCCGAGAGCTTCCGCGACGAACGGGGTCGCTCGACCTCCGCGCCGCCGCCGAGGGCGGCGGACATAGTCGCCGCCTCGTCCTTTGCAGCGTTCGCCGTGGCGCGCTTTGCTGCGCGGTTGCGAAACTCCCAGTGCCCCCCCGTCGATTCGGCACTGGCGAATGAGCTCGCGTGGATGTCGAGCCCGGCTCGGTCTGGCACGCGCGGCGCGAGTGCCCGGGCTGACGGCGCATGGCGTTCGCCGTAACAGGAATCGCGTTAGGCGCCGCGATGACGTCGCGGAGATATGCCTCGTCGCGCACCGCGTGGGCGTCACGTCGGCTAGGGCAACTTGTGGGTCCGACATCGATTCGGACGAGCGCCGTCGTTTGCGCGCAAAACACGAATTTGCGAGCCTGGCGCGAGCCGGAGCGGGAGACGAGGGAGCCCCGCGGTCGCGCGCGCGAGGCTGCGGATGCGGCGCTGACGTCGGGAAGACCGCGTTCGGTCGTTCGCTTGCGATCCTTGCGCGGATGCGGCGGAGACAAGAGGGCCGATCGGTCAGTCTCTCGCTGTCCACGTTCGGATGCGGCGCGCGCGGCGGACAGGGCCTTGTTCGGCCGTTCGCTTGCGGTCTCCGTTCGGATACGGCGCAGACGTCGAACTGGACCTTTTTCGGTGGGTCGCGCACGATCCTCTTCGACTGCGGCGCAGACGTCTAGCAAGCCCTCGTTCGGTCGTTCGCTCGCGATCTTCGTTCGGATACGGCGCAGACGTTGAACTAGACCTCGTTCGGTCGATCGCTCGCGATCCTCCTCGGACGCGGCGCGGACTTCGAACTGGACCTCGTGCGGTCGTTCGCTCGCGATCTTCTTTCGGGTGTGGCGAAGACGTCATGCGAGACCTCTTTCGGTCAGTCGCCCGTCATCCTCGTTCGCATGCGGCGCAGACGTCAGGCAAGACCTCGCGCGGTCGTTGGATCACTATCCTTGTTCGGATGCGGCGCGGACGTCCTACGATACCTCGTTCTGTCGTTCGCCCGCTATCTTCGTTCGGATGCGGCGCATACGTCGAGCAAGACCTCGTTCGGTCGTTCGCGGGCGTTCTGTGTTCGGAAGCTGCGCAGGCGTCGAACAAGACGCCAGAGAGCTAGGAGGAAATCGTGGCCTTCGAGCCTGGCAAGACTACGAGGAACATCGGTAACGGAGGGGGCGGGGGAGGACGGAACCTGCGCGACAGAGGCGCCGCGCGCGGAGGAGGGGGGATCCGGCACCTGCGCTGCAGGCAGAGGCGCCGCAGCGACGGCCAGCGCGCGCGCGGGGCAGGCAGGCAACAGGAGCCAGCGACGCCCAGCCGACGGCGCGGCGACCGCAGCAGGACGAACAGCCGAGGACGAGCCAGCCGACAGCGACGGCCGAGACGAGCACGCAGGAGACGCCGCAGGCCGACGAACGCACGCAGCCACGACGCCGCAGGACGAGCAGGCCAGCAGGCGACGGCACATCAAGAACAGAGCACGAGGCGCGGCGGGCAGGCGCCAGCGCGCGGGGCGACGGCGGGCCAGCGCGCGCGATGGCGTGCACCCGCGCTCGAATCCCGAGCGCGGGGTGCACCCTTCGTGAACCGTGGGTGCACCCTTCGTGCACCCTTCGTGAACCTTCGAGCCGGGGGCGACGGCGGGCCAGCGCCGCGACGGGCAGTGGACGAGCGCTGGGGGGGGATCGCGGACCTGTGCACATCGCTCGCGGAGCGCCGCGGCGCGCGCAAGCAATGCCGCGGCGCGGCGGCTGCTCGCGCCTGCGTCCGCCGCGTGTCCTTGGGGGCCGGTGAGGCCTGTGATGCCACAGAGAGCGAGCAGTTTGTTACATATAGGACCAGGATGAAGAGGCGGCGCTGGGTCCTCCTCCTTTTTCCTCCTCGTCCTCCTCGTCTTCTTTGTCCTCCGCATCCTCCCCGTCCTCCTCCTCCTCTTTCTGCTCCTCCTCCTCTTCCTGTAGGGACGAAGACGGCGGCGGGGATCAGGATCAGGAGGATGATTTTTGGGAGCGGTGTAGAAGAGGATCAAGACGAGGTTGAGGATAGGGAAAAAGGATGGATACGACGGCGGCGAGGACCAGGACGAGATCGAGGACAAGGGCGATGATGATGATGATGCTGCTGCTGCTGACGATGATGATGATGATGATGATGATGATGATGATGATGACGACGCTGATGATGATGGCGATGATGATGACGATGATGATGATGATGCTGATGATGATGATGTTGAGGAGGAGGAGGAGGCGGGAAAAGAGGATCATGATGATGCTTATCATGAGAGTGATGAGGGCGGCGATGCCGATGTCAATGTCGATGGACCACGCGGCCATCAGGGTTCAAGGAGACGCGCGTCTCGCCGTCGTTTTTCTCCTCCCCGATCTTCCCTCCCTCCCTACCCTCCCTCTTTCCCTTCCCGTCCCCACCCCCAACAGTTCACGTTTTGAATACTGCTTTCCTCTCTCTCTCTCTCCTGACTCTGTGCGGAAGATATTCGGCACTCGCCGCGCATTTGTTTTTTTTTTCATATTTGTTTTGCATTCAGATTTTTTCGGTGTTTCAACACGGTGCTCCATCTGTGGGCTTCATTTTCGGGTTGGCGTTTTGCTCCCGTCGTTCACAATTGCGCTCTCGCTCCAGCGCGTGCCATTTTTTTCTGGATCCGAGTCCTTTTTCATCGTTGTCGCCCCCCAGTTTCCCCTTCTCCGCCTTCCCCTGGGCCTCTTGCACCTACCGCTCCTTCCACTCCAGCTCCTGCTGCTTCTGTTCGTCATCAACCTCCACGTTCCTCATCCTCCTTCTTGTCCTTCTGCTCATCTTCCTGCTCATCCGCCACCTTCTTCTCCAATGCAGCGATTGCGCATAACGCGATGGGGTCCTCTGGAGTTCCAGGTCCGTTATGGCATGCGTCGGCGGATAAAGAAATAACAGCGCAGAGGAAAGGATGGGTGGGAGGGGCAGGATGTCAAATATGACGTGAGCACGCCTAGCTGGTTCCCTTCCCGCCCTCTGTCCCCTCCCGATCCTCCCTCTCTCCTTCCCTTCCCCCCCCTTCCTTACCATCTCTCAGTCCCTCTCTCCTCCTCTGGGGCCCATTTTGATCCGACCGATCCGATTCAGCATCGATTCGGATTGTTCCGATCCCATCCGATTACGATTTCCCGACGATCCAATGCGGCCCGATGCTTGCATGGCGCATTTGTGCATCCTGGCGCAGCCGATCCGATTCGATTTTGACTTCGTGCCGACGCAGCCCGATCCGACGCACGCTACGATTCGATCCGAGTTTTTCGATTCGATGATCACTAATCTTGCCTGCTCTTCCTCCGTTTTTTACCACGCAGTGCTTCGTGGCAGCCCCCGCTCGTGTTTCTCTTGCGCTGGCGGAAGTGCTGCGCCTCCTGCCTGGCCTGGGAGCCTCTGGCTTGGTGAACCCAGCGAGCCTGCAATCGCTCCAGATCGCCAGAAACACCATCACACAATACGAGCAACATGAACCTGGCGCAAGCCTAACTTAAGGGTCTTCTTTCTCGTCCGAATCAATGCAAGCCACTTTTGAGCGATGTAGAACAATGCAGTGCAACACACAACTCAGAGCAGTGCAGTGTAACACCTTGCTTGGCATTGCTAGGTATTACTTGGCATTGATTGGCGTTTTTAGGCATTGCTCGGAAGCGTTGCTTCGCACTGCTTGGTCTGCCTTGGATTTGATTGGCAATGCTTGGCTTTGCTTGGCACTGTTTGACATTTCTCGGCATTGCTTGTCATCGTTGCTTTGCATTGGCTTTGCATTGGCTTTGCATGTCTTGGTTTTGCTCGCATTCTGCTCTAGACCGCTCCAAGACAATTCTTGGCGGAGAACGATAAGCATGTGGGAAATGTCTTCTGGAGAAGCGCCGTAAAGGAGAATGGCGTCAGCATAACGCACGCCGGTCAATAGCTCGGCCGCCCCAAGGTCGAGCCCCATGATTTGGACACGGTCTTCGAATCGACGCAAGGCTTGCTCAAGACCTGCGTTGAAAAGGAGCGAGCGCAAAACGTTCCTGTGCTTGACCCCCCCGCTGATGTCGAACTGTTTGCTGCCGTGGACTGGTTCCGCACTGGCCACTTTCGATCCTGATCTTGCTTCACTCGTGGAAGTGGATGACTGCAGTTTGCCAGTGATGTTGAAAACAGACCTGCACAAGTACCTGGGGAATCGCTTCCACGGAGATCTCCGAGAACGTGGCTCGTGCAATCTGGAGTACTGGATGCAGTGTGCATGGTCCAAGTGGTTGTTGTTCAGGACAACTAGGGTGAAGCAGCTCGTGTCATTGGAAGTAGTTCGAGAGCGACTTTTCGCCGACCGTCGTGTACAGTCTGGCCACAACACCGCAGACAGCACGACAGAGAGCAAGAACATCCAGTGTCTGGGCGCAGATATTACGACGTATCGTCGGGTTTCGCAAGGCTGATCAGGAGTCTTGGGAGGAGGCTGGGCGTCAATGCAAGCGAAGAGTCGAACGAGCAATGACTATTTACAAAGTGTTGGATTGGCTGGTGGTAGTGGACCCAGATTGTTGGAACATCATGTGTAGAATCTACGCCGAGAGGCACGGGTGGCCATCTCTAGCTTTGCGCTGGCGTCCAAACGGTTCGCGTAAAATTGGCCGTCCGAGAACGATATGGACCGATTCAATCGACATTTTTTTCCCGATATCGCTTCAGTGCCAGCTGGGAGCGTGTTTTACACGACGGTCCCAGTGGGTTGGCGAGAGGTTTTATGATTGAGTTGTTGTCATACATACCAGCATTTCAGGTAGTGGTAAGGCGTGGTGGCTGAGGGTTTTTCGCCACGGGACTGGACCCGGGTAGCTCGTGCCCGGTTTAGGACTTCGGGCTAGGGTCCTGGATATCGGAGTAGCCTTGGAGTCAGCTTCCCAGGCGTTCCGGATCCAAGAACGTGAACACTTGGTCTTTGGGCCTCTCGAGCTGGTTGCGCAGGAACGAACCGCGCCCCAACGAAGGATTTCCTTGCTTCTCTCTTTCTTCCTCTTCCACCTGCTCTGCTCCCAGAAGTGGGTGCAACAGGGGCGGGGCCCGGACGGGGCGGGAATTGCGCTGACCGCCTCCTGCCCGGAGGCATCGACGAGCTCAACTTCATGCCGCCGCAGGCCGAGAATGGGAGGGGGGGGGGAGGGCGGAGGTCCAGTGGAGGGGGAGGTGCTTAGGGGAAAAACGGCGAGGGAAATGGAGGAGGAGAAGGAGGAGGAGGAGGCGGAGGAGAAGGAGGAAAAGGAGGATGAGGAGGAGGAGGAGGAGGAAGAGGAAGGAGAGGAAGGAGAGGAAGGAGAGGAAGGAGGTGAAGGAGAGGACGGAGAGGAAGGAGAGGAAGGGAAAGGAGAGGAAGGCGGAAGGAGGGAGGACAGAGGAAGGATGAAGGATGAGGATGATGATGATGATGATGATGATGATGATGATGATGATGATGATGATCGTGATGATGATGATGATGGTGGTGATGATGATGATGATGATTATGATGATGGTGGTGGGGATGATGATGATGATGATGATGATGATGATGATGATGACTGATGATTGATGATTGATGATTGATGATGGTGATGGTGATGGTGATGATGATGAAGATGAGGATGAGGATGATGATGATGGTGATGATGGTGATGATGGTGATGATGATGATGCTGCTGCTGATGATGATGATGATTGATGATTGATGATGGATGATTGATGATGGTGATGGTGATGATTATGAGGATGAGGATGAGGATGATGATGGTGATGATGGTGATGATGATGCTGATGATGATGATGATGATGATGATGATGATGATGATCGTGCTGCTGCTGATGATGATGATGCTGCTGCTGATGATGATGATGATGGTGCGGCTGCTGCTGCTGATGATGATGATGCTGATACTGATGATGATGATGACGATGATGATGATGATGATGGTGATGACGAGGATGATGATGATGATGATGATGATGGTGGTGGTGGTGGTGGTGGGGATGATGATGATGATGATGATGATGATGATGATGATGATGATTATGATGATGATGATGATGACGATGGATGATGATGATGAATGATGATGATGAAGATGATGATGATATGATGATGATGATGGTGATGACAGATGATGATGATGGAGATGATGATGATGATGATGAATGATGATGATGATGTGGTGGTGGTGGGGGTGGTGGGGATGAATAATGTCGATGATGATGATGATGATGCTGATGATGATGATGATGATGGTGGTGGTGGTGGTGTGTTGATGATGATGATGATGATGATGATGCTGATGATGCTGATGCTGAGATGATGATGATGATGATGATGAGAGGAGGAGGAGGGGAGGAGGAGGAGGAGGAGGAGGAGGTGAAGGAGTAGGAGGAGGAGAATGAGGAGGATGAGGAGGATGAGGAGGAGGGAGGAGGAGGATGAGGAGGAGGAGGAGGAGATGAAGGAGGGAGGAGAGAAGCGAGGAGGAGGGAGGACACGAGTAGGGGGAGGACGGCCGCCACCGCAGCCACAGTTGTGACCATGAGCCCCGCCGATAGACGCCTGGCGAACGACGCGCCCTGCCCGCCGTCCGCCGCTGATGCTCGAGCGCCCCTGACGAACGACTGGCGACGACGCGCCCCCGCCTCTCACCCTCCCCTCGAAGAGCAAACAAGAACATGATACGTAACACCCCGCAGTTGCGGATAAGAGTGAGGGGGCGGGCGCGGGGTGGGTCGCGGGTGGGTCACAGGGTGGGTCGCGGGTGGGTCGCGGGCGGGTCGCGGGGTGTGTCGTGGGGTGGGTCGCGGGCGGGTCGCGGGGTGGGTCGCGGGGTGGATCGCCGGGATGGTCGCGGGTGGGACGACAACAACACCAACAACAAGAAAACTTAGAACAACAACAACACCAGCAACAACAACAACAACAATATCAGTAGCACTAACACCAATAACAGCATCAACAACAACAATAACAGGAACAACAACAATAATCATGGTAATACTGTTCGCTCCTATCTACTCACGTGCCAACCAATACGTATATCCCAAACCCTCGGTACCCTCCCTCGTCGTCTTCGATCGTACCCCCTTTGGGGTATATCTTCCTTACCTGCCACGTGTATTTAATGCAGCCCCTAAAACGAGGGAAGAGAAGACGGGTGGAATGGGGAGGGAGAATAATGGAGCACGAGAGAATTTAGCAGGAGGGGGGCAAGGGGTAGAAAACAAGTGGTAGGACCAGACGGGCAGATCGGGTGAGCAGACGGTTGTTGAAGCGTGGGTCCTGGTTGAATCGCGAGGAAGTTTCGAGCGATAGCGCGATTCCCAAGTAAATCGCGAGAAAAGCCAAAGCGAGAGCGTGATTCCTGAGCGCCGAGGGCGCATCGTCTGAATCAGCTGCGAGGAAGTCCCACGTGAGAGCCCGATTCGTATACACATTGTGAGGAGGTCCCGCGCGAGAGCGCGATTTGGGAATAAATCGTGAGGGAGAATCCGGCGGGAGCCGTTGTTGTAATCCGGGGGCCGGAGGCACAGTTTGAGCCTAGCGATTTTCCCTGACAAAAAAACAGGGTGCGATCCCCGGGGTAAGCATTTCAATTCAAAAATACAAGGGCCACCGGAGGGGTGGGATCAATAATGATTGTTCTTCAGTAGTGAAAGGTCAACAACAACACAAACAACAAAAACACCACCACCACCATTGACAACAACAACAACAACAGCAGCAGAACAACAGCAGCACAGCAACCCGCACCGCGGCACCCCACTTCAGCCACGCGCCCAGGGCCAGTGAATGACCGTTCGGGCCCCTCACTCTGGCCCTGAGCGTGGACTTCCTCCACGACCCTGCGCGGCCCGGAGAGGCGGCCCAGAACCGGAGGGCGGCCTGGCCGCCCCTGGGCCGCCTGTCCCCCCCCCCTTTGTGGGGCTGCCTGCGAGTTTTTGATGACGCGAACAGCGGTCCGATGTATCGACTTCGTATCGAGCAGCTCGCTTTAATCTCGGAGGTTTGGGTTTCGCTGTCTGCAGGCCTTCGATCGGGTGTTCGTCGAGCTTGGGAGTTTCCACATGACAAGATATGTAAGACCCAACCATCCAATTGGTGGCGACAGGTTCGTGGACCCATCGCGGCTTTGTGTGCTACAGTCTTCGAGCTAGGCTGGCAATCTCTCTTTGTTGATGAGTGGCTCGTCGAAGGCAGCGCAACTCTTCGTATGACTGATGTTGGCTTTCGTTATCATGTCTCTGTTGCAGTACATTCCAGTTGCTCTGCCACCGTGTGGGCCGAGGCTTCCCTGCACTTTTGTGGCCGAGGTTGAACTTCAGGAGCTGACCTCACCGTTTTACGTGCCAATCACAAGAAGTTTCTTGACGACGGCGACTTCAAGGGCGCCGCACTTCTCATTGCTATTGTTGTTGGAGGATGCTGGCCAGAGAGTCGGCTTCAGGACAGTGGATACCTATCCTCAGGTAAGTGCTTCAGGTGTGGAGATGTGCGTGGGAGCCCAGTGCACCGTGCCTGGGGATGCCCCTGTAACGCGTTCCTGACCGACCCTGGCATTGCTGCCAGTGAGTATTCGGTGCCTGAGGCCCTTGCAGCAGACCCTCAAGGTGCCTTCTTCACCCGTGGGGTGCCCAGTGTCGCTGCCACCTGTGGTCACCTTCCTCCCCCTCGAGCTCTTGCGTGGGCCTGGGGCACCCTAAGGGCTCAGAGGCGAGTTTCTGGAGGCGTGTGGGGCCTGGACGGCGTTGGCGGTTGATTTGCTACTGATGAGCGGCTCTTACGGTGTCGATGGGCTCTTGTTTCTCTTCGGGCTCCTGAGGGGCTCTCGTTGCAGTTGGATTCCAGTATATGCGGTTCTCTACCTACCCCTTATCAGTCGAGCCCTCGTGCTGACTTGCATTCCTTCCTGATGGTGGTGCGTTCTACTACTGATGTTCTATTCTGCTACTCAGACTACCTGCCCCTCGTCACGGGCCTGCGGCAGCCACGTGCGCAGGTTGTGCCTCGTAGTTTGATGCTCGATCTGTGGGTTCGGATCTGGTCGGCTCTGGGTGACCTTGGTCCTGGTAGGGTCGAGGTCCTGTGGATCAGGGGCCCCTCCTCGGCCCAACGGCGGGCCCAATTCGCCATCGGGGAAGAGGTTTTTTTTCCTGAATTGGTGTGCTGATTATTTTGCAGGATGGGCCGCCGAAAGAACGCCCCCCAGTCTTGATCAGTTCCCCCGCAGTTGGTGGATCGAGTCACCTCCCACACGCTTGATCGCTTGTTGGCGGTGCATAAGGAGGCGGTCGAACAGAACCCCCGAGGAGATGCTGATAGGCTCGGCCGCCCGCCACCGCACCCTCCCTCCCCTCTTTCCTGGTCAGGGAGATGAGGTTGCGGAGCGCTGGCCACGAACCGAGTCTTGCAGGCTGTTTCCTTCGGTGTCAAGTGTGTGCGAAGACATTCAAGTTGATGGGGCCGTGTTCAGGACTTCTGCCCAGGTCCCTGTCTCGGCCCTTCCCACCACTCCTCCGACCCGCTTGCCCACCCCTTGTGTTCCGCGTGTGCCAGCACCCGCAGGCTGAACGTCTCGCGTGGAGTTTTGTCTTGTGAGCACTGTGGCGCCCATGCTGGTGCCAGGGATTTTCAGAATTTGGCCAGGCCGTGCAAGACATACCACCCCCCCTCCAAAGCAGGAAAAGAGGTGCTGCCCAGAGTGGCGAGGGGGCTGCCCCCCAAGAGCGGCGGTAAGTTCCTTCTGGTGTGATGTCAGCGAAATGCCCAGGTTTGATCAGACCAGACCATTCTTCTCCTCTTCCTCCTCCTCCTCCTTCTCCTCCTCCTCCTCCTCCTCCTCCTCCTCCCCCCATGTGGGGCTGCTTGGCCTCTGGGGGGCTGCCTGCCCCCAGCGGCTGCCTGGGCCCTTGTGGCCCAGACTCCCGCGAATTCCCCATGGCTCCACGCGCATCTCTAATAGTGCGTCGGGCGTGTCCCTCTACAGGGGAATATTCAAAAATAGTCGAAACTAGTCAGGGAACGTTTTTTTCCCAACCATCCTGTGGTGTTGGGTCCTCGTTTTGAAGAGACGGTGCCCGCGTCCTCTCCTCTCCTCCTCTTCCCCCTCCTCCCTCCTCCCCCTCCTTG